AAAAATTATTGGTTGCCAACCTGTTAAGTCCAAGTGACCTGATTGAGATACGCGCAAAATCGAAGTTCCAAAACAACGATTTGTCTACATTAGCGGTTCTTTATTAAATAATACACAAAACTTAGTTACAAACCTCAACTTGTGAGGTGTCTAGGCGTTTAAACGCGTCCTTCAAGAATGAAAATAACAAAGGCTTCGATAGTTCAAAGACAGCCGATAGCTGTGTATAAATTTGATAACAGTTTATGAGCAACCGAAACTCGAACCAGGAGCAAACAATATGGAAACTGTTGCGTTTAAACAAATGCACAAAACTGTGGATAACCGTTACAGTAATTAAAGTACAGTGATTATAATGATAAATACAATGATAAGTACAATAAACGTTAAAGATATTATGTGAACATTTCAGAATGTCACAGTACAACTTGAGTTACAACATAAGTTTGAAAGTTGTCCGGAATACAACTGCTTACTGAATGTAAATAAGTAGTATAAGACAATATACAAAAGAGTAGAAAGGGAACAGGTAGGAACAATGTAAGACAAACTTAACACAACCATTGAAACTAATTTGATTCTTCTATGGTATTTGTTTGATATAACCAACAAGCAGTTATTCATAATCGATGCAGGATCTAGAGCAAGTGTATATCAGTTTGAATTACTATACCATATCATCAAGGTGTATTGGTGAAACTCTACTTTATGGACGACCTTTGAACGAATTTTTAAGTGACCTTGAGGACATTAGCCAATCAGAAGAGAGTTAGTATGAAGTGAAAATATATAATAAAAAAGTGATGAATTACAATGGATATTCTTCTTTTACATTATTTAAGAACTTGTTAAGGTTTGATATAGGTCCAGAAGTTTTGAAATCATAGTGCATGCGGTATAGGAACTCGTCCATATGACTCCATAATAATCGTCCTCTGGAGCCGTGGTAGGGTCTTAAAAAATACTTCAGCCTAGACCACATGCCTTCAATGTTGTTTGTATGGACCCCCCGTCGTTGGATCAAAGAAATGACGTTTGTGCACCACCACATGATGCACAAAACCAAGTCTCGAGAGGCATCTATACGCTTTCCAATCATCGGTATAGCCGCAGCTAATGTTACTGGAGACTTTATGATCCAATTTGCAACGATTATCATGGTTTGTCTTAGCCTTAGCCGTGACCGGTCATAAAAAGTGCCAGTTCGAGCAGATTTTTTTCTACAACATATAGTACAACGAAATACAATGTCATCGCGACAGTCTGCACATCGTGCTGCGGTCATTTAATTGCCGCAGTCACAGACACAGGAACTTCTTAACAGTGCCATCTGCTGTAGTCTCTCAACGATCACCTATTCTCTAAAATCTGCTGTAAAACGATCGAATGTGAGCATCTCGCACTGAACTTAGCGCCGTGACCTTGAAATTCCATAAACGCTTCTGATTGGCTCGTCCATAAATTAGAGTCCTACCGGTGTATTGAACTTACCACAAAAGGAAACTCGTTAGTATTACTTTACGGATAATAAGGTACTTATTATTAAACTGATAATAGAAAAGCCATGATTAGGTCACAAAAACTCTTCCAGTTTTGATCACATAGCTTCAATACTGTTTGTGTGCACTACGGTTGTTGGGTTCACAAAATACCACTTGTGGATAACGACACGTTGCACATAACCAAGTCATCTGTATATATTGTAGTACTTAGTTTCAGCCAGTGTTACTGGTGTTTTTATTATACAGTTCGCAATAATTTTCACAATTTACCTTAGTTAGGAATTATATATAGGGTTTTCATCACAAACTAAAATAAGCTTTAATGTCAAAACTCTATTTAACTAAATGGATGAATGACTTTCGTGACAAAATCCAAGACCTGTTATCTTAAACCTGATTGGTTCATCTATAAATTATAGTCTCGCCTAATGTGTTTTCGTAATCTAACAGGATTATACACTTGATTTCATCGGCATAAGAATCCTTCAAAAAAGTTTTAATCTTTCTTACAAAAAAAATTAACAGTCGAAGCCCTACACGTATGGGCAAATTCAAACGGTATTAATAGGAGAGATGGAATACAATTAGCTGTCTCATGGCAACTAATCATTAATAAGTAAACCTGAAGTCTTTATTCCATTTAATCAGTTAATTATTATCTGAATAAAAACAATTACATTCAACTATTCTAATCAGTTGTCTTATCTGATCCTGCTTATACTCTTACCGCCTCTAGCACTATGGGATTTGAATCGACAACTGCATCTCTGTGCTAATATGATATGGCAACTCGAACTGATGTACGTAATTACGAAGCTCTACGTAGTTACTTACTTACTGACTGACTGACTTTGTTATCTGAATATATCATGAACAATTAAGTGGGACAGCAAAATAACTAAAACATTCATTCCTTCATTTTTATTTTACTTCTTTAACTATGTTTTATGCATTCTGTAACATGTCTTATTCATATCATATATAAACGCTGCATGTTTTCTTATATAGTCACTTATCAGAGGCGATAATTAGTTGATGAAATTTCTTTTCATATCTCAGATTCACCTACGAATACACACAATCTGTTACCCTAAAACACTTTTCGTTTCATACAACAAGTCTCTTACATGCAAAAAGCAATACCTACTTTAAACATTATTAAAGTTAATTGGAAGACCTGTTTGGTATACAGTTAACCAGAGAACCATAAACCTGGTTTATATTCGATAATTTTGATGTTTGATTATATTTTGTTGAACTAGATTGCCAAGAAAAACGTTGAATTTACTTCAAATTCATTTGCTGAGATTTTACAAATACAACATTCTTCTTCATCTTTAATGTCTCACATCAACTCGCTGCCGAAGTACTGTGTAACTATTCGATCAAATTTAGACGAAAGTTGTTATACAATTATTACTTATGTCACTGCATCACTGACCGTAAAATATATCTTTTCCACTGCAGCTTTTTCTCGATCTATTTCTGTAACAAGTCAGTCAGTCAGCTACAACGTAGGACCACGCACATATATGCATCGGTCCAAGTTGCCATACCTCATTAACACAACAAGATGGACACCGGATTCATGTAGGTAGTTAATTCAGAGGTGATAATATATAAAAGAAAGATTTCAATAAGGATATAATACAGGAAGAAAGAATTAATTCGTAGAAAGGAAGATATGAGGCGATTTTAATCTCTTAGTTTAATGGAAGATAGAGTGTATACACCTACACCATTGTGATCGATTCTGAGCCATGTCACCAAGAGTCTACAACCATTGACTACGATAGTCACGCGGACCCCAACCAAGTAGTCTGCATCTACCAACATGGCTCAGACTAGAAGTTAGTGACTTCAAGCACTGATGCCACGTTTTGGTTTGGCCGCCCCTAACTTTCTTCCAACCATCCCCAACACCGATTAGCATTGCACGTCTGTAACAAATATAATGATGTATCATGGTAGACGGTAGCTAATCATGAATAATATAAGTTTCAAAAAATTACATCACTCAAGGTTTACAGCCTCATCAAAAACACTGTACTTAATCTTAACGTTACTGACTGTCTAGATGGTTCCATCAAGTCTTTTACTAAGTTTGCTAAATCACAAAGTAATTTCTTATAAAACTGAAAGTCAATTATCACTAGAATTCTCAACTTCTAATTGTCCATCTAATAAACTGAGCTTACTAACCTCGGTTGACATACAAGATGTGCGAAACACTCGATGTTCATAGTTTCACCAAATCGTCTATAGAATTAAATGAAATGTAACTTTAATAACCTTTGCTTTTTGATGTCATTATCGCTTATTTTGCTAATCAATTCTTATCTACAGAATCCTCAAGATCTGGAAAATTTTGGTCAAGTACTTTATTTTCCTAATATTACTGTTGATGGAAAAACTTAGTAAGTTCATTTGTATTTTAATTAATTCTATTACATATATTTGTAAAGAAGGCAATAGGCAAGAGAAATGACTGTTTATTGTGATGTACTGGAATTCTTCACATTGACGATTGTTGCAACTTCAACAACACGTTCCTCCACATACTACTTACAATCATGCTTGTAAGTAGCGTCAACTACCATATATATATATATATATATATATATATATATATATATATATATATATATATATATAGATGAGACGAAATACTGTAGTTAGTCCCTATAATCAATAATCTATTTTTATTTGTTATTCGAACTCACAATCACTTTGTTTTCTTGAAATTAGGATTCTACATGAAAATGTTTATTAATTAAAAAAACAAAATGACAAAACGTCTTATTAAGTTACTGGGTGGAACTCGATCGATTGTTAATATTTTAAGCTTTTGATCTATGAGTTAGAAAATTCTATGCTTTCAATTTCGATTAAGCTTACCATGTAGTCTGATTCAAGTGTGTCAAAGTATTTGATTGAGATCATGAACTAATTGATGTTAGACCACCATTGAAAACCTGGAAGCATTGGATGGCTGTTTCGTCCTATTGTGAGACTTCTTAGCAGTGCACATCCATGATCCCGCCAGCGGGATTCGAATTCAGTGCCTTCGGTCTCAAGCGCGAACGCTTAATCTCTAGACTACTGAGCCAGTGTCCAACGGTGTTAATGTTTAATCTCTACTAATCCACGAAATTGCATAATCATCTCCCATTGTACTGAGGTCTATATCTGTTTCTACCTAACATGGATTAGCTCCACTGGTCACGGCTTCTCATTAGAACTCCGAGAATTCCCTCACGAAGCTAGTCACTAATGAGCACATGATGTTAAAACAGTCAACTTTAATAATGAGGTTCCACCTTGTTTATTCTCGTTTAGACAAATGGATAGTATCACTACCTTTTACGTTAATTCCATGGCTTAATTACCGAGCAGCATTAAGTTCAATAAGTTGAGACTTCTATTAATATGAAGTTTGTTTTTTATCCCCTAGCTCCATTAATTTCTAAATGATGCAGAAAATGTGTAATTTAGGCAGATATTTGAGATTTATTTGTATTGGCTGTTCACATCTTCCTGTTCATTCAATGAACTACAAGCGACCACTCTTTTTCGGCATATGTACATCATATACTGTTAGCCTTGATATCCCCATTTTGGATAAATTTCTATAGTATCTAGTAATGGAGTACAAGACACGTGTTTCGTTCTGTTTGAAACTTGTTAGCTGAATTTGCCTTCATCCTGATTTTGTTTTTCACATTAAGATGTGAACTCAGAACCATTCACTTCATACGTATAAACCATTATCTACTTAATTACTCAGTTGAAATAGCCATTGGTTTGTGCAACGGGACAAAATTTAATTCATTTATGTTGATTGTTTGAATCTTCTCATTTATGTTATAGAGTGCAATTGATGAGTATCTTTAGAAATGGTATATTAATAAGGAAATTGAAAGATTTAGATAAATTAGTAACTAAATATATGCTTAAGGTATTACATATCGTTAAGTGAAACAATATGGAATGATCTAATCCTGCTGATTATATAGTCTAACATTTTGCAAGACACGAGTGAACTGAATACCAGTTTTGTATGAGAATAAGGTGTTTCAAAGTAGTCGTATTGAATGTGATATTCTAACAAGTTATTCCCAGAGCTATTCAATCTATGCTCTAATAGTCACGAATGGATAAGGATTCAAGACAGGCAACATAGAGAACTCGCTTGGATATATCGTATTGAAATTGGGATTCTTTGGTTTAGATATTTACAAAACAATAATAATTTTTACAAACACTATAATATTATTGGTAAATTAACATTTTTTCGAGCTAGATAATTTAGTCACAGAGTTCGATATCCGTCTATCAACCAAAGGACGTGTTTACTGTGCAGCAGTTCGTTCCGTTCTACTTTATTGCAGTGAAGCATGGCCGGTAAGAGTAGAGGGTATCCGTTGGTTACTAGTATTTGATTATAGGTGTCTTCGAAATATTGCTCGTGTATCCTGGGACCATCGAGTAAGTAATGCAGTTGTTAGGAAACGGGTATTAGGTAAGGATGATAAATCAATTGATGACGTAGTGAAACTTCATCAGTTGAGATGGCTGGGACACGTGTTACGTGTGCCCAACGACCGACTGCCCCGACGTGCGGTGTTTCCTGATGTAGGAGTAGGTTGGAAGAAAGCTAGGGGTGGCCAGACCAAAACATTGCACAAATCCACGAAGTCACTGACAAGTGAACTGAGTCATGTTGGTAGGTGTAGACTACCTGGTTGGGGACCGCGAGATGATAGCAACCGATGGTTAGAAACCTTGAATGAAATGGCTCAAAATGGTTTGCAATGGCGCAGGTGCATCCACTCTTTGTGTTCTCCCAAATTCTAATCTTCTGACTTCTTCATGTCCCTTTCTTTTTTCTCTTTCCAAATCTATTTCACTGGATTATACTCCTTGAATAACATCCTCAAACCCTAATTTTTCTGACTACAGCTTATAATTTTACTACAATCTAGCACTACGGGATTCGAATTGACCACTGCATCTCTGTGCTAATGTGATGTGGCAACTCGAACTGATGTACGTACGTACGAAGGTCTACGTTGTTACTGACTGACTGAGTCACAGAGTTCTTATCATCTCTTTAAACAGTGGAATCCAATCCGTGTCGAGTAGAGTCAGGTACCTACCTCAGACAATGGATGAATGGTTGCGCAAGACCATGGATCGATCGAAGTTAGATATCAACATCGTTGGATGCTGGCTCAGTGGTCTTGAGGTTAAGCGTTCTTGCGCGAGATCGTGGATGCTCACTGTTGAGGAGTCCCACAATAGGACGAAACAGCCATCCAATGCTTCCAAGTTTTCTATGGTGGTTTAGCTTTAACCTACTCATGAATTCAACTATTAAAATTACTACAATCTCCACAAACCTCATTCTGATCTTAAACAGTATTATCAGACCAACTTGTAATGAAAATGTTCTTTTAAGAATTTGTCGAAAAAAACGGTTCACATGTTGATTTTGTTTATCTGACGCACAATATAGAAACAACCCATGTGACATAGGTAGGTCGATGATCTGTATTAGTATTGTAAATTGTGTATTATATATGAGATGAATTACCACTACTGAATGGTTGAGACTCGGTAATTTTGATACATTGGATTCATCTTATAGTTTACAAAGATATTTCATTGGAAGGAATCATTCTATTGTCAAAAAAATAAGCCCTTGATCTTATATAAAGATTGAATAAGATGAAATCAATTAAGCAACGACATAATCTCATGAAGATACAGGTGTTTATTAACAGCTGTCTACGCAAAATACTTCGGATCCGTTGGCCGGACACTATTAACAACAACCAACTGTGGGAAAGAACAAACCAGATCCCAACGGAGGAAGAAATTAGGAAGAAGCGCTGGAAGTGGATAGGATATACATTGAGGAAAGCACCCAACTGCGTCACAAGACAAGCCCTCACATGGAATCCTCAAGGCCAAAGAACACATTACACCGGGAAATGAAGATTGACATGAGGAAAATGAACAAGAATTGGATGGAAATAGAAAAGAAGACACAGGACAGAGTGGGTTAGAGAATGCTGGTCGGCGGCCTATGCTTCATTAGGAGTAACAGGCGTAAGTAAGTGAGAAAGTAATAATCTCATGAAGTAATTTATGTTTCTTGTTTATTCATGAAATGTATGTATTAATTGTTTCTGTTTTGTTTTTGTTTTTTTTATTATTTTGATTGTTTGTTCAGCGGTTACTTTAGTCATTTATACTTTCCATATCTTATGCAAGTAGCTTATCGTTCACCGCTTGTTGCTGTACAATTTGCAAGTCCTAAACGTCATGTCCTTTTAATGGTACGCTGTGAATTATTTAATGTACGTAATCCTGGTGATCCAATGGATTTTGAAATTTTAGTAGATTGATTAATTCATAAACTGTATTGTACTTATGACTTTTTTCTTTTTCTTTTTTTTCTTCCGGTTTATTTGTTTATCCAAGTCAGTTTATCTATCCATCTGTCTGTCTATCTATCTATCTGATGCCTGTCTATCTATCTTTCCACGTTTATGTCTGTTTACTTAACTATCTATTTAATTTATACAAAAAATAAGGGAAAATGTAACCGAATATTTTTGTTTCTTATTCATGATACTCATTACGTTTCCATGTTAGTTTATTTTGTACAGGCAATTTTCTTTTTCCAAAAAGAAAATAGAAAAAAAGTATTTTTTCCAGTATTCGTTAGTTTATTTTTTATATGATCAAAAGTGAAATAACGTGAACAGTTCTGATCACTGACTTACTTACTCCTGTTACTCTTCGTGGAGGAGCATAGGCTACCGACCAGCATTCTCCAACCCACTCTGTTCTGGGTCTTCCTTTCTGGTTCTATCCGATTGTTGTTCATTTTTCTCATGTCTGTCTCCATTTCTCGGCTTAATGTATTCTTTGATCTTCCTATTTTCCTTTATTAAGCCTTGAGGATTCCATGTAGGGGTTTGCTTTGTGACGCAGTTGGGTGCTTTCCTCAATGTGTGTCCTATCCACTTCCAACGCTTCTTCCTGATTTCTTCTTTCGCTGAGATCTGGTTTGTTCCCTCTCACAGTAGGTTGTTAATGATAGTGTCTGGTCAACGGATCCGAAGTATTTTGCGTAGACAACTGTTAATAAACACTTGTATGTTTTGGATGATGGTTTTCGTAGTTCTCAAGGTTTCCGCCCAGTACAGTGGAACTGTCTTGGCATTTTTATTGAAAATTCTGATTTTAGTGTTAGTTGACAGATTTTCTTCAATTGTAGATATGTTGCTCTTCATCATCACTGTTTGATATCATTATTAACAGATGCATGAAATCGGTTATTTATTTATATGGAAATGAAAACTATGGATCTAGACAGATTAAAATATTGGTTAGCGTAAAGTAACTAGATCTAATGATTAATATATTTTATCGGACTTATGGTGTAATCTGTAAGTGATTACACATTTTTACAATGCTAATATAGTTGAGGCAGCAGAGTGTATTGTCGGTAATTAACTTATTCATATGTCCAAGTTCATTGTACGCATTTCTCTTTTTGGATCATTTTGACAACCTACATACTCTTTTGAGTTGTAAGTGTTGTATTGCCAGTCAGTGGTGTTAAGTGCTGTTGGAAGTACGAGGGCAGTTATCACTTCCCGGTTGCCCACACCGTGGAACGGTTCTTCTGGAGCTCATATACCTTATTCTAGCTTTCGGGTTTCCCGAAAATTCTGGAATGCCACTAAACATAGTAGCAGTATAGTAATCAGACAATTGGAAACTCTACATGTGACTTTTCACTTTCTTGATGTTTCCACTGAACACTGATTGGATAAAATGCTTTTTAATGCTTCCTGATCTTTTCTTGTCTTTTGCGAGAAGGTTTCTGGATCAGCCCAACAACAGCATAAGTAAATGATTTCGTTGAAAAATTTTTTTCTTAACTAAATTCATTCACTCCTCATAACATCATCATTCCAATGTAACGTCACATTATTGTCGATTATCAAATGTTTTAATAAAGACTAGACAATTCTTCACGATGTTAAGGGGGATATTCGGAAGATAATTGAATTATATATATTCAAGAGAACTTGATAAAATACTTTATGCGTAAACCGGTGTTTGTAGTTAAGAGGTACCGGCCTATAATTTTCACTAATGAGAACGGTGAATTATCTTGCTTACGGTAGTTTGTGAGGCCCTTTATTTTGATGTCAACTAAATCGGACGATGTTGTCGACGGGCTTACCACTTTTGTAGCCCGGGATCTGACTCCAGTGATATCGTATGATTGATTGTTGAAATAGACATCCCGACTATTCTAGTAAAAAATTATCGCCTTAAATCGCGTTAGTGTATAACGAAATTAAATAAGTCAAATAGGAGAATGAAGTTTTGAATATATATATTGTACACTCACTGATCTGGATAGAAATCCAAAGGGATGAAGCGAAATTACGCGCTATTGAGAAATCATGTGAGCCAACTCCGTTTGACCAATAGTTAATATTTATAGTCACATAAAAATAATCTACAGACATGCGGTAAGTAGGATGTGAAATGCACACACATAATACACTCATATACATACAGACGAGGTTGGAATCAGGGTCTTCCAACTCCCCTAGGTGAAAACTCCGTGTCCATCAAGCTGGTTAAAGCGCCGGACATTCGCTTTTCGTCCTCTCAATTTCGTAAACAAGAGTAATGCCGCGAGAAGGCAGTTAGTAGGACTTCCCTGGCAGAGGCTATATACGCGTGGCCATGTGAGAGCATTTGGAGAGGGAGAGCGGACTTTCACCACTCTCGGCCGTACTAGGGCATTCAACTCATATAGGCTGAATAAAGCAATAAAAAGGTTTCAAATAGACTTCTCGACATGCTCATCGTGCTGAGATATGAACTGTCAATCATTAGCAACATATGTTTCGAATGAATCAAAATTACTCTAAACACTGTGATGTTATTTAAACCACTGAATGATGAATTTCACATTTAATATTACAAAGGGAGTTGTAGATTTACTAATTATAAATGGAAAAAACATAGAATAATCAATATGATGCTTTAGACAAATTCTCACGCGTAAAAGTTGACTTGAATATGGTCGTTGTAAAGGAATTAAATGGCTATAATTTGAAGTTGGACATTAACATCGTTGGATGTCGACCAGTTCAGTGGTCTATTGGTAAGGCGTTCGCATGTGAAATCGATAGGTCCTGTGTTTAAATCTTGCGAGGAGTAATCGTGTATGCGCACAGTTCAAAAGTCCCACAGTAAGACGAGACGGCCATCCAGTGCTTTCAAGTTTTCCACAGTGGTCTAGCTTAAAATGATTCATGATCTCAACTATTAAAATTACTATAATATCCACCAAACCCCTTCTGATACTAACATTTAGTAGTTCAATTTTAAGTAATAAATAGCTGCTATGAAATCAAATAGCAAAGGATTTATTTCATATCAATATTAGCGTATTACAGTAAAATTATTCTTAAAGAATAGATTGACTGTGATTGGTAGTGAGCTCATCAGCTGGATAAACCTGTATCTAAGCTCGAGACTAATCCAGTTATCCTTCGCGCTGAATTTCAAAATTTTACTCACTAAATTGTTGAGTTCAGACAGCCACCAGCTTGTTTAAGAGGTTTGATTCAGTCGTGAATTTTAATCACTCTTAGTTGGTGACCTGAACGAGGATTTACCCATTCGAACATTAATATAATTACATAAATCTGTCAGGTATTTGTCACCAAATAATCTAATAAAGAGAATAGTCACAAAGTGATATATTAGCTAAACGATTTTTCACAATGAAGTGTAAAATGAACAATTAATTCTACAAGTGGTTAATTTGAATTTCGACTACACCCTTATACAAACAATTAACCAATGACATTAGTTATGTTAAACAATGAATTATAAGAAATTCAAAAAAAACTCAAGCTGAACTTAGTATATTTTCATAGTTTTAGTAACAAATCATTACCCTGTTTTTTTTCTCTTTAATCTCCATATTCATAATGTCTCTACAGTAGCAACATATTCAATGATGATAAGACTTCCAATGATACTACTTATATTAGTAGTTTACACAATTCAATGTCATAGTATTAGTTTCCATGATCTATTAACATATTTCACTTCATCTAAATGTGGTTATGAATCATGTGACATGGGAAAACCGGGATATCTTAATATTCATTTAATACCGCATACACATGATGATGTTGGCTGGTTAAAAACAGTTGATCAATATTATTATGGTACTAATAGCACAATTCAACGTGCTGGTGTACAATATATTTTAGATAGTGTTATCTCGGCTTTAGCTCATCATCCACATCGTAAATTTACTTATGTTGAAATAGTTTATTTTTATAAATGGTGGTTAGTACAATCAAATGAAATAAAACATTTAGTGAAAAATTTAATTCAATCTGGACAATTACAATTTGCTTTAGGTGGTTGGAGTATGGCAGATGAAGCAACTGTTTATTATTCTGATGCAATTGATCAATTAACTTATGGACATATTATATTAAAACAATTATTTGGTGAATGTGGACGTCCATTAGTTGCATGGCAAATTGATCCATTTGGACATTCACGTGATCATTCTGATTTATTTCAAGATGCCGGTTTTGATGCTGTCTATTTTCAACGTATAGATTATCGTGAAAAACAAAAACGTAAACGATTAAAACAATTAGAAGTTCTATGGGATACTACTACTACTAATATAAATAATAGTAGTTTATATGGTTTATTTACTGGAATGTTTTATGATACTTATTGTTATCCACCTAATTTAGAATTAGATGATAAATATCCAGATAATACAATTGTAGATAATCCATATATTCCAGAATATAATGTTGATAGTATTGTAAAGAAATTTATAGACTATGTTCATATGATATCTAAAGCATATCAAACTAATCATATAATGGTTTTAATGGGTTGTGATTTTACATATGAGAATGCTCATTTCAATTATAATAATATGGATAAGTTAATTAAGTATGTGAATCAACAACAATTACATGGGAGTAAGATTAATTTATTCTATTCTACACCAGCATGTTATACAAAAGCAGTGAATGAAGAATTTAATCGAATTGGTACAATCAATCGTCGTGGTGGTGATTTCTTTCCATATGCTAGTGGTCCACATTCATACTGGACAGGTTATTATACAAGTCGACCAGCATTAAAATATTATGTACGTCAAGCATCAAATTTATTATCAATATGTGAACAAGTAAGTAACTTCTAGTTGTTGCTATGCATTTTTTTGAGGGGAAGGGGGAACTGATGGTTCAATTCATATTAGATAGGGAAAAATCTGTTAGATAGTGGCTATTATTTTGCTTTATGTATTTCTCTTTCT